AACCCTTTGGGTAAGTATTATACCCAATTTACAGATGGCATAATTTAGACTTTGAGAACTTAAGTGACTCTGTCAAGTCACCAAGTTTATAAGGGGTAGGCAAGATGAAGACTACAATGTGACTTGAGAGCCCAAATTCTTTACCACCTTACTGTGCCTCATTTTAAAAATCTCTTCTGGAGGATATCTAACTTCAGGTTCAACTGAGAGAGAAAGAGCACCTTGACAACAGGGCACTGCTCATCTATAATTGTCTTCTGACCACAGGGTTAGGTATTCAATAAGTGTACCTTCAATGAATGAACTAAATAATGGAATAAAACTCTTAGAATAAATCCATGTTCTTTAACCAGAATAGCGGCCTGGTCTGATATTCAAAGATTCACTCAAGCCTTTAGTATACTTAACATTTTCACCTGTTCCTAAAGATACCTCATGGGCAGCACCTGTGGCTCAAAGGAGTAGGGCACCAGCCCCATATGCTGGAGGTGGTGGGTTTAAACCCACCCCTGGCCAAAAACTGCAAAAAAAAAAAAAAAAAAAAGAGGGAGGGTGGCGGCACCTGTGGCTCAAAGGAATAGGACACAGTCCTACATGCCAGAAGTGGCAGGTTCAAACCCAGCCCCAGCCAAAAATTGCAAAAAAAAATACCTCATTACTTGGTGAAATCTTAGTTTTGGCTGCAAATAAAACTCAGCATGGATAATCAGCTGATAATTTGAAATGCTGAATCATAAAATTGTCACTAAGTGCCAAACTACAGATTTTATTTTGAGACAGAGTCTCATTTTGTTTTCTTTTTTTTTTGTAGAGAAAGAGTCTCACTTTATCACCCTCGGTAGAGTGTTGTGAGTCACATAGCCACAGCAACCTCCAACTCCTGGACTTAGGTGATTTTCTTGCCTCAGCCTCCCAAGTACCTGGGACCACAGGTGCCCGCCACAACTCCCAGCTAATTTTTGTTGCAGTTTAACTGGAGCCAAGTTTGAACCCACCACCCTCAGTATACGGCCCGGGACCCTACCCAATGAGCCACAGGCGCCATCCATGAGTCTCATTTTCTTGCCCCAGGTAGAGTGTGAAGGCGTCATAGCTCACAGCAACCTCAAACTCTCCGGCTCAAGTGATTCGTTTCCCTCAGCCTCTTGAGTAGCTGAGATTACAGGCACCTGTCACACGCCAGACTATTTTTGGAGACGGGGGTCTCACTCTGGTCTGGAACTCCTGAGCTCAAGCAACCCACCTGCCTTGGCCTCCCAGCGTGCTGGGATTACAGACACAACAAACTACAGATTTTATAAAAGTATTAAGCACATCTCTTGCTTGGGTTTATCTCTCACATCACATATGCACGGTGAGATTTCAGGGAACCACTTTAAAACACTCCTTAAAAACGTTTCTTTTGTCACCTTCTCTCTGTCATTTCATTTGTAATGAAATATACTTTGCAAGGGCGCAGGTGGTTAAAAAAAAAAAAGCTGGTAACTGTTAAGAAACTTGGGGAGGGCTGTTTTTGCTTTTGGTTTTGTTCACAAGAAACTGATGGACGGAAGTAATGTATCTAGCATGATCTGGCATATACATGATCATTAAAAATATCAAAATAAAAGAAGCAAAGCATTTTGTGGTTGTGCTACGCATTAGTCTGCAAGAGAGGAAGTGAGTAGTAGCTAAAATGAAGGAGAATGCTCACTTTCTAGTAGACATTAGGAATGGACAAGAATTAACCTAAAAGAAAATAATACTTTGTCTTTTTTGTGAGCACTTGCTCTAGTGAGACCACGCGTGCACCCACAGGAGAGATGATATTATTCTGCCCATTTTACAGGTGAGACTTGCCAAGGTCACCCTATTACCTTAAGGAAGCGACTCCACAGCTCGAGCGCCCAAGCCCTAAGCAGCATCGCTTCTCCGGCCCCACTGCAAGGGAATAGTAATAAGCAAAGCACACCCAGGAAGGTAACAAGGCGCGAGAGCTTTAGAAGTCCCCATCTCACGAAGTGGGCAGGACAGGTATCATAACGAGACAAACCAGACCTGAGGAATCTCGTTTGGAAGATTTTAACAAGGTCACACAGAGTTTCTGTCCAAGCTAGGGAAGGATCCCTGAACACCTCAGGACCACCGTGGGAGCCCGAACCGCACAGTCTACCCCCACAGAAACCGCAGTGCCTCGGTCGACAAGGTCAGCGCCCCGCTCGTCGCAAGCCCCAGGGAACCGGCTGCAGCGCCAAGACTGAAATTAGGCAGCCGCATCTGCCCAGCTTTAAGCCAAGGGCCTTACCGGGTCGCCAGAACTTCACCGGTCCCACGGGCGCAGCCATGCTGGGGTGAAAGGTCACGAGGAAGTCTCCACCCTCCAGTCGCGCGCACGCACCGAGAGCCCAGGGGGCGTGGTGCGAGAGGAAACTCTGCCCAGGCAAATCGGAGGGCGTGGCGACCACGCCCCCGTGGGCACCGCCCATCCGAGACACGTGATCTACTGCACGTCCTGTCAAGCTCTCGGGCCCATGTGACCCCGCCCCGCCATATTGGAAAAAAGGGCGCGCTTTGCCGCCTGGCTTTAGCCGGACGGATCCGTGTTCCGAGCAGCCTTCAGGCAGTATGCCGTGGCCAGCACGCCGGCTGCACGCTTGCGGAAGGGAGGATATTGGCATAGCACCGTTGCTGCTAGTGTGGCATCTTGCACGCAGTGGGCGCTGAGGCGGTGCTGCTTGGAGTAACTACGAAATAGTTACAGACTATCCTCACTTTGCTCCTTCTCTTTGTCTCGTTTTCAGATTGACGTGTGATAAAAGTAACTACCTCGGCTCGGCGCCGGCCACAAACACCGGAACTACCGGGTTCGAATCCAGCCAGGGCCTGCCCCACAACAATGACAACTATAACCAAAAAATAGCCGGGCATTGTGGCGGGTGCCTATGGATCCAGCTACCTGGAAGGCTGAGGCAAGAGAATCCGATGCTTAAGCCCAAGAGTTGGAGTTTGCTGTGAGCTGTGATGCCACTGCACTCTACCAAGGGCGACAGCTTGAGACTCTGTCTAAAAAAAAAATATATATATATACAAATACGCCATCCAATCCTGAATCACTCTCAGGGACGTGGCCTGGGAACCTGCATTTTAAGAAGACGCTTCCAAATTCTTATCATTAATACGTTTGAGAAAGGTTCCATTAACTCAAAAGAGAGTTAATGAGAAGTGATGACCGTAAGTAGAGGAAATGCTTTACAAGTAGGCAATTAATTGGCAGGAAATGAGAAGGTTTGAAATCTATGCATTTTTAAAGCTGTGAAGAAACTTCTGGATTCCTTGAGTGAAATGGCAACTATGACAATCTTGCAAGGTCTCTGGAGACACACAGCCCTGACTTGGAGTCTCCACTTTGCCATCTCTTAGCTAGTAGCTGTCATTGACTTTTACTCATTAAATAAGGTTTTAAAAGGTATGAAATAAGATTACACGTAAAGAACATATCAGGCTGCAAGACATAGCAGGCAATCCATGTTAGCTCTTAGAACCTCAACTCAAACAGAGCAAATCCACCAAAGGGAAAAGCCTGAATCTATCTGCATAGATTCATGCAACAAATAAGCTCCTTTGATTTACTACCATAATAATGAATGGAATTCATAGTCATTCTACCTAGAATTCTCCATCCATCCTTTAAAATATCCTCGTGGACAGTGACTGTGGCTCAGTAAGTAGGGTGCCAGCCCCATATACAGAGGGTGGCGGGTTCGAGCCCGGCCCAGGCCAAACTGCAACAAAAAAATAGCTGGGCGTTGTGATGGGCACCTGTAGCCCCAGCTACTTGGGAGACTGAGGCAAGAGAATCACCTAAGCCCAAGAGCTGGAGGTTGCTGTGAGCTGCGACGCCACAGCACTCTCTCGAGGGCGACAAAGTAAGACTCTGTCTCTATAAAAATAAATAAAAATAAATAAGTAAATAAATAAAATATCCTCATCCTTTAAGGGCCACCTCTGAATTCACTTTCCAGCTTAATGCATTCCTCCTGTAGACCCCATAGAACCCATATGCTCACTTCTGAGATAACATTTACTTAGTTGAACTGTAGTTAATCTGCCTCCACTATTATTATTATACTGGGAACTTCCTCGGGACAAAGACCGTGTCACATTCGTGTGTATAACCAAGTAACAATGCCTGTTGAGTAGCATATATGTGAACACCATGCTTTGTACTTAGTTTTAGTTCTTCGCGGAATTGATTCTTGTTTATTTATTTTTTAAGACAGAGTCTCACTGTATGGCTCTTGATAGAGTGCCATGGCATCATAGCTTACAGCAACCTCAAATTCTTGGGCTTAAAGCTATTCTCTTGCCTCAGCATCCATGGTATCTGGGACTACAGGCGCCCACCACAACACCCAGCTATTTTTTAAAGATGGGGTCTTGCTCTTGCTCAAGCTGGTCTCGAGCTCTTGAGCTCAGGTGATCCCCACCCACCGTGGCCTCCCAAAGTGGTAGGATTGCAGGCGTGAGCCACAACACCCAGCCTGTTTATTTTATTGTATTGTATTTATTTTATTTTATTTTAGATAGTCTCACTTTGTGGCCCTTGGTAGAGTGTTGTAGCATCATAGCTCACAGCTCTTGCCTCAGCTTCCCAAATAGAGTAGCAGGGACTACAGGCACCTGCTAGTAGACATGGCTAGATTTTCTATTTTAGTAGAGATGGGGGTCTCACTCTTGCTCAGGCTGGTCTTCAACTCCTAAGCTGAAGCCATCCATCCGTCTCAGCCTCCCAGAGTGCTAGTGTGGCAGGAAGAGGCGGCCCAATGGAGAGAAAGAGCATCCAAACACTATGTTTATAAGAGGAAGGGCTTTTATTTCAGCCAGTGGAGCTTACCGCATAGAAGAATTCAAAATGGCTGCACTCTCCGACTGGCTTGGTCTTTCCCTTTTTATCTCCAGTCAAAAAGTTCCAACCCACAGGTACCTTTCTCACTGGTTAGTTGGAATCAAGCAGGAGATGCTATTCCAGCCCCCAACAGAACTACAGGATTTCATAGTAGTAGGAATTTTCAAGGTCCAGGAAGTTAAGTCTACAAATTCCCAAGAGCTGAGGGAGAGGACCCTGCAGGTGTATCCTTGTCGTCTCCTTGAGAAGACCTGTTCTCCTGGACCTCACCCTTCCCGAGTATCCTCTCTCACTAGGATTACAGGCATGAGCCATCAAACGGGCCTTTCCGTGTTTTATTTGTGTCTTATTTTCAGTAAAGGCCCAAATATAGAAACTAAGGTTTACACATGAATACAAACAAAAATGAAATAAATACCAATTTAAAAATTGTTTCTACATCTTATATATTACTGATGACTTACTTATATGACAAATCTTCTGTTTACAATGAGATAGAAGATTGGTCATTTTCAAATTTATTGGATCATAATCTTAAAACTGGAAGAGACTTTCATCAATATCTAGCTTAGCTGGGCAAAGAGACTAGCCTGACCAAAAGGGGGACCCCATCTCTACTAAAAATAGAACTGAAGCAGGATGGCTTGAGCCCAGGAGTTCCAGATTGCTATGAGCTATGATGACTCCATGGCACTCTACCCAGAGTGATAGAATGAAATGCTTTTAAAAAAAAAATGTAGCCTAAATTTCTTTCCTTATGGGAAACTGAGGTCCATAGAAGTTAGAAGGACTTAGAATCAATGGGATAATTTAGTATCAGAACTGAAAGTAGAACCCAGGCTTTCTAAGTCCCAGCCCAGTGTTTTTTCAACCACATGGACCATTTAAAGCTATGAGAGCTTAGCTCAGCTAGAAGACAATTAGTTCATCTGCCCAGAAAGTTCTCAAAGTCCTACTGTCCTCAAAGAATTTTATTGCTTATGTAGACTTTTTTTTTTTTTTTTTTTTTGAGACAGTCTCACTATGTCACCCTACGTAGAATGCCATGGTGTCACAGCTCACAGCAACCTCCAACTCTTGGGTTTAAATGATTCTCTTGCCTCAGCCTCTCAACTAGCTGGGACTACAGGCACCTCCACAACACTCAGCTATTTTTTGGTTGCATTTGTCATTGTTTAGCAGGCCCAGGCCAGGCTTGAACCTGCCAGCCTTGGTGTATGTGGCCAGTGCCCTACTCACTGAGCTAAGAGCACTGAGCCATGCTTACGTTTCTTTTAGAGAAAATACTTTAATAATCTACATATAGATGGTGTGATTTTATTGTTACAAACTAGAAATGGTCTTAATGGACTCTTAGTCTTCCTAATTAACTATTTTTGAGAAAGAATGGCCTAAACTACTCCCCTAAAATTAAAACTTATTTCTGGAGATGGCATTCAGAATTTATTTCCAACAGTGTCATAAAATTTTAATCATCTCATTAGAGGTGAACTTTGCAACTTCCAAATGATCATAGATTTTCCAGAAAGATAATAATCTTCAAAATCATGTTACATGGGTAAGATGTAGAAGTTCTTCTATGCCTATGGTAATTGGTACTTTCTGCTTTGAAATATTTCCAGACCAAATATAGGATGCTTGGTCCCATTTTTAGGATGCATAGGATATAGGAGTTTTCCTTTTTTGTACCAGTTAAGAATTTTATAGATACAAGTGATAGAAAAACCCAACCCAACCTCACCTAAGAAAAATGGCTCATTCAAAGCCAGGCATGGTGGCTTACACTTGTAATCCTAGCACTCTAGAAGGTGGAGGCAAGAGAATCCCTTGAGCTCAGGAGTTTGAGACCAGCCTGAGCAAGAATGAGACTCTGTGTCTAGTGTAGATAAAAAAATTGGCCAAGTGTTGTGGTGGGCATCTATAATCCCAGCAACTCAGAAGGCTGAGGCAAAAGGATTCCTTAAACCCAGGAGTTTGAGGTTGCTATGAGGCTGAGGCCATGGCACTCTAGCCTGGGCAACAGAGTAAGGCTTCGTATGAATTTAAAAAAAAGGAAGTCTCTCAAACTACAATGTCTGTGACTTGAGACACAGCTGCAACAGGATACATATGAGGTAATCAGAACTCTTTCTGGTCATGTTTATCTGCTACTCTCTCCGGTGTAACATGGTAACAAGAAGGCCATGTTAGAGCTCTAGCCACCACATCCTCAAGCATCAACCCTCTTTCCAAAATTCACTGGCAAAAGTATCTCTGGCCAAGTATCCATTCTTAAATCAATCACAAAGACCCACAGAATATGACGTACTAATTGGCTTAGTTCTAGGTCACATGTTCCATCCCCAGAGTCAGGTGTGGTTAGCTTCACCAGAACCACATGAGCTGAGAGTTGGGAATAGATGGTTCCCCAGAGGGAAATCTGAGCATATTATCAGAGGATGAACGA